ACACTACCTACGCGCTACGCTAATTTACACTACACTACATATTATACATATCCAAGTACCGTACCTTCCCATGTTATGTTCTTTTGATACTTTGTGTTCTCTTTCTTTACCTGCTACCGTCATGTTTTTCCCCCTAGCACCTGGGTCTGCACACTTGAGTCCAACCTCAGTCCTCCCTCACCCTCCTGGTGAGGGGGGCTACCATAACAGTTTTGTATGACTGAATGCCATACAAAGTTATAGAAGTGGCTGGCAGTGAGAAAGAAGATAAACACCCAAGAATCCATTTTAAACTTGTTCATTCATGGTGTTCATTGCTGTAACAAAAACAAAGGCTGCATTTTTTCCTAATAAGAAGGAACAGACAGCTCACCACAAGCCATAGAAACAACAGTAACTGTTTGTTTACACAGGAACAAACAAGAGAGCTAAGCTGGGGTACAGTTTAAGTTACCATGGTATACAGTACAATATGCAGAGCACTATATAGATCTCCCTTGTTTGGAAGCAGAGCTAAAGCTCGCAGGATCCTAATCCTTCATTTCTGCCAGCTCTCACTGCAGTGGTCCTGCAGTGACTCAGCCTTCATTCAAACAGCACAGATCTGACTGAAGTGACACCATATGGGTATTATTCATAAGAGACAGATGGTGTGTGTGTGTATAGTGTGTGTGTAAGTGTGCTAGAAATGTTCCCCAAACAGATCAGGAGCGTGATTATATTTATTTATAAATGAGACAAACAGCAGGGAAGGTTGCTGGCCATTTTGCATCGTTGCTTCCTCTCCTTGTATTTGCCAACCTATTCAAAAAAGCATTTTAGTGCAGTTACTAATCTAAGAAACAAACAGGGATTCAAAAAAAGGAGCATTTAGTGTACTGTGTCAATTAACTGTTGTGTTACATGTGTAACTGTGACTTTTGAAAGAAAAGAAGATATAATGAACACAGAAAGGCTGACAGAGAGCAGAGAAGTGTTGGGTGAGCTGCTGAAACCACACGTACCTATCTTGAATCTGGTCGTGGCTACAGGGCCCTCTGTGTTGCCCTCATACAGTGGGATGACAGTGACGATGTACTCGATGTTGGGCTGCAGCCTGGACAAAGTGTAAACCTCACCAGGAACCTCCACCGTCTCTACACTTTGACCTTACAGACAGAAAAACGTAAATAATACACTTTACAAATTTGTGACAGATAATTAACAGTTAATGTGTTTGATGTCTGCTTTGTCCTGACCTGTAAAGGGTCCCCAGACCAGACGGTAGGCTTGCGCACCACTGACGGCTCTCCACCGCACACGAACACTGCCCTCTGACTCAGTCTCCACTGATAACTGTTGCACTGCCTCAAGGCGCACTGCCTCATGCCAAAACATGAACACACAGACACTTGGAATAATATTTGCTAATTATGTGAACCCAGTTCCAACCACAAGGAGACAATAGACAAAGTATACACTCACCAGCCATTTTATTAAGTACACCTGTACAATTGTATGCAGGACCTCTGCCTTAACTTTTGTGTTTATGAAACTCAAGATGTTTCAGTTTTTGGTGAAATTGTCATAAATGTGTAAATTTAAATATAAGTTTATTACTGAGCTCAGTTAAAGGTTGTGTTGTAGTGGACTAATATGTTAATGTGTTCCTAATATTCTGACCATCTCATGTAGGTAGCTGAGGAGGACAAAAACAGAGACATGTAACCATTGTCGATCAACTGATAAAGTTTTTTATACATTTTTATAATTAAACCTGTGATGAAACAACTCTGGTGTCTGTACACACAGTATCTTCTGTCTCCCAACAATCAAGTACAAATATTTGATATAATATTCCTCCACTCTCTAACTTGAATACAAAATGTACAAGTGTCTACTTATTATAACTGATAAAATAAGTATTCATCATCATAGAACAGTACCAGTGGTATTAATAATGGGCTACAGGGTGGACTCACATGTGCGGGCATTGAGGATGGACGGGGATGCAGAGTTTCGGGGGATTAGGGGGTAGAGGCTGATAACGTACTCTGTGTCAGGCTGAAGTGACTCTAAGGTGACGGACGTGGAGTCTGCAGACAGAGACTGCTCCCGCAGCTGGGACTTTGGGTGACCTGCTCTTCCAACCACACAATAGACAGGGCAATTAGACACGGAGGGCACACAAAACATCAATTAGTGCACAATGCAATCACAAATCATACAGTACTGTATGTCATCAGACAAAACAGCTGACAACAAGCTGAAAAAATATGAGATGTGTCCTCGCTTCATTAGGTTTTCTGAGTATAATGCATGAGGTTGGCAGACAGCCAACTGCAGAGACATAATGTTCATAGCCTTCCAATGCAGTAAGCTTCCCAGGAGAGGCTGTGTCTGTATAGTGTGCATGCCCTGTATGTGCTTGGGCAGCTGTCAGCATCTGTCTTGTTTATTTGCCTCATCAGTGTCAAAAGGTGCACACTTGCTAGAAACAGCAGACACATTAACAGGTAGAAACATCACACCTCTCACACAAATGTGCCAACCTAACTAGCCAGGAGAGGAGGTCCGTGTGAGAGTGGCACTAATGCCACATGTTCGGTGGCAGATGGCACTTGTCACTGTTATGATGGTATGTCACACCTCGTCTCGAGAAATGTAAGGACCAAATTTCTGACAATCCGTGACAGAGGTAAAGGTTTTTCTGTCTATTTAATTTCAGAAATGGTGGTGATAAAATGTAAGTAATGATTAGGCAAGAAAATCTTGATGTGACAGCCAGTGCCTGAGGGTGGTAAGATACATGTTCCCTATGCTGAATCTTGAATGCTGTACATTCTCGACATGTTTCAAACTTGCCATCAACAAGTTAACTATTATTCATCACAGTACTATGCCTTCTCCTCCTTTATTTTGACTCTAATCTTTGTTCCTGTGAAGATTAAATATGAATGTGCCTGACCTCGTGCTCCATAGGTGAGTCTGTATCTCTGAATGGGAGATGAAGGCTGATCCCAGCCCACAGTGAGCGAGAAGAAGCCTGCCCGGACCAAACGCAGACTGGAGACACCTGGCAATGACCCTGTACAGTGAGAACATAAGACACTGCAGGTGTATGCCTGTGGTAAGTTCAAAATTAATGCTTCTGTCTTGTATAAAAGAGGCTGGTTTTGGCAGAAGCCTCTCTGCTGACATTTGAGTCCTTCACTTACGGGTTCTCTGACTGGCAGAAGCAGACTCTCCCACACTATTGGGATACTGAGCGATGACAGTCACCATGTAGTCTGTCCCTGACCTCAGCTCTCGTGCGGTAAAGGTCCTCTGACTGGCAGAGACAGTCTCCTGCAGTGAGAGACAGGGGACCTCTATAAACAGTCTAGTCTTACATAAGTCATTGCAAAGTTAATGGCTACAATAGATGGCTAAGCCATGGCATTCTTCCATCTTCATTGTGTCTGCCAGAGTTCACTTGAGGGAATTTCACTCTTTGCTCTGCCAAACTTTAATCTCTACAGCATTTGAAGAAGATCCACCCATTAGACATGTTTTATACCCAGCTTGAAGGCATGTGTTTCTCTTGCAAAGCAGCACCAACTCTGGCTTCTAAAATTGCAGTTACACCAATACAGGTCATATGAATGTGTGTGAACACAATATCCGTCAATACTTGGACTTGCCTGACGCAGTTCTGATGTGATAGACTGACCCAGGCCGGAGAGCGGCACGTACTGGACCACATAGCCACTCACAGGCCCCCCTGCAGGACTCCAGCGAAACCTGAGAGAATCAGACGTCTGTTCTGTAAACTGGATGTTGGATGGACCAGAAAATGCCTCTGGGAGGAGAGAAGACGAGAGGAGAGGAGAGGAGGAGGAGGAGGAGAGGGTGCAGGATGCAGAAGGAAACATGGATAAAATTGAATGCAGGTTTATAGTCTGAGATAACAGTCTATATATTTTTGTGAATTTTAGTATCCAGATGTTAAATTGTGGTATGCAAGTTACCAGACATACCATCACTAGCATAGACCCCTCCTGCTGTGGAACACACGCGGGGACTCACAAGAGGAATAAGTGTGTTCAGCAGTTTGAAGTCCCCAACAAAGAAGGTGAAATCATCGCTGGGATGGGAGGATATCTGAGCTAATTCGATGCTGTCTGCACTCTTTATACCTAACAAACACAAGAAACAAAAAAAATCACAGTGGTTCATAAGCAAATCTAAAATAATTCCAACTTCTCAGATTAAGTGAGGAGAAAGAGCAGCACCTACCAACCGCAAAAACATACACCCCTTGGCTGCGCAGCTTCTCTGCTGGCTCCTGCACAAAGTCCTGTGACTTCCCGTCTGTGATCAGGATAGTGATCTGAAAGTTAAGAATGACCCACAGGTAGAATTAGAAGTACAACAAGAGCGATGCTGTCATCCAGTCAGGGAAATTAACACAATGGCTGCTCCTCAAACCTTTGGGACATCCCGACTGGATGCAGAGTTGAAGAAGTTATCGGAGACAAACTTGAGACCAGCACCTGTGCGTGTGTTTCCACCCTTATATTTTAGATTCTCTACAGCACTGACCAGCGCAGTACCATTCAGGTAGGCAGTAAAGGTAAATTCAACCCTGGAGTGAGACAAAGGCGCATCAGTACATAATTCTGCACTTACAGTCTCTGTCATCACATACAAAATATGACAGTGTCAGTCACCTGGAGGTGTCACTGTACTGTATGGCCCCAAACCGTATGCCCGACTCACTGACAGAGCTGACAAATGGCTTGACGATTCCAGCCATGAATGTCTTCACCTGCAGGAAGTTCACTCGGCCAATACTGGAAGAGCCGTCAACTAGGAAAACAATATCTGCTGCTTGCACATTATTGCACCTGCCTGCAAAATGATGGAGGATATACATAAGCATATACAGACATACATGATGTAGATAAACAGAAATGCAAAACATATGAATTCTTGGATGCAGAGATAATTAAAACAATATGCATTTTACCCTGAGCTTCAGTCTGTTTCAAGATGGATAACAGCACAGTCACAACAAAAACGTAGGTCCACATCTTCACAACCTGGGCACACAAAGCGTACTTATTATGTCCAAACACTTTAAACTTACTACAAAACAGGCAGACCAAATTACAGACCCAGGATCTGATGTTGTTATTGTTTAAATTTTATGATAATACCAATATCCATCCATCAATTGGTAGTTACAGTATAAATCCTTAGAGACTCTAAGCCATGCGTTTGTTATGGTTGCTCCTGCTCCTTCATCCTCACCGACTTGTGTATCCTGGTCATATTAGACTCTGTATTAGCCCTATTAGATGAAACTCTGCCATCAGCTACTTACTTAGCGTTCCAATTAAATTTCCTGTTTCTGCTGGTCACTTGAACTTGTCACTTTCTTGTTCAGCTGCACCCAGTTAATCATTTGTGACTCAACCTAAGCTGAGGATAGTTCAGACCTGTAATTTGTCAGATTGTCTGTGTGGCCTTAAAGTTCTAGCCATCGTTCATGCCTTTACCTGTTCTGACCCACCTTTTGATATCCTGCCAGTCAGTCTCATCCCTTTGGGTGAAGTATCTTTTATCATACCAGTGTAGCTTCCAAGTCTGCTTAAAGCTACAGTGTCATTTTTAAAAATATTTTTAGCAGAAGAAATATGCTCTGAATCATCCCTTATTGTGGAGTGATGCTGTCAGAGGCTCCTGTGACACTGACTAAATGCACATCTTGGCAGCAAGGCTGACATATTCCCTTCTCAAGGTTTCTGAGAAAGCCTCACCTTCTAACAATCTGAGAATAACAGGGCAGAGCAGAGGGAATCGGAGTCTCGTGCTACCACTAGCTTGATTTCCAAAAATGACAAAAACCTGAAGCTTATTAAGGCTGGAATATGATGTCATTAGCGTGTAGCTGATCTGTCCGAGCACCACCTAAACACATGTTCACATAACAGAGCCCTGTATGATCTATTAAATGGTCCACACATCTGCTGCCACTGCCTAGTTGTATTGCTGCTGCTTGCTGGCCGCTGAACAACCCACCACACCAGCCTTCACCCCTCTTACTCAGTTTGACAGTATATTATTGGTGTTGGTAAGGCACCTCATTGCACAGTAATTCATGATCTTTCAATATTATTCCCAGAATGACACACCACTCACTCATATGATTTGTTCTACTATGCTGTCATATGCGCACAAATAACCTCACAGACAGAGCTCCTTTGGTCAGACAGGCCTCTATTTGTTTCAGGAGTCAGTGGGCTCACACCGTTCTACATACATGACCTTTATCACAATCAAATCTCACTACTGTAATTAACCCCACTGACACATTTAGGATATAAAATATGTTTAAGCTGTGCTTTCTCTGTGTCTGTCTTTGGTCACTGTATGTCTAGAGAGCACAGAGAGAAATCCAGTAAGAATCTAGAACATTTCTTTTCATTACATGTTAAGCCAAAGAACAAAACCTCTGATCTACTCTGTAGAGCCCAGGCACCTACAAGAGACAACAGACAGAAAACTACCACTTTGCTGTAGTATTTTTATGCCAAAGTATAACAGTTATTATAATGGTAGCTGGAGCCCCTACACTCACTAACACATGTACAGACAGAACGAGTCTGTTGTCTTCTAAAAGAAAAGTTTTATCACATACCAATCTGTTTAATTCCAGCTGTGGATGCTTGTTGCGTGTCATGCTTCTCCTGTTTCCTGTCTGCCACTTTCCAGTGAAGGTAAAATACTAAAATTATCATCTTAAAGCTACGGTATGTAGCTTTTTTCAACAATTTTTGTTGAAGAAATATGCTCCAAAACCTGTCTGAATGTGGAGAGCTGTTAAAAGGTTTTGAGCAGGACTGACCTCTCTAACCAACCAGACTTATTCAGTTATTTCTGCTTGATCAATACATGTTGTTGCAATTTTATGTATTGTAATTTCATAAGGACAAATATCTGAGGAGCTGGGCAGAGCGTGGCAGAGTACAGTGGAGCAGGGAGGAGGAGCCCTGGATGGAGCAGAGTGGATTGAGTTGGAGTTTCATGCTGGTGGTACATTTTTGGGAAATATATTTTTTGTGTTCGTTCAGAGATTTACATGAGAGCGATACCACTCCTATCTTTACAGCAAGTGTACAGCCACAACTAACAGCCTGTTAGATTAGTTTAGTATTAACACTAGAAATTGGGGGATCAGCTAGCTTGGCGCTATCCAAAGATAACATAATCAGCCTACAAGAGCCTCTAAAGTCCACAAATTATTTGCTATACCTGGTTTGCTAAATCAGAACAAAATGCACAAAACTGTACAAACTCGAGTAGCTGTTGCTTCAACAACTAGCATATAAAGTTTTTTGGAGGATTAGGGTCTTTCTATCATAACAGCCTACTACTTTTTATAATACTGTAACATTTTATACAAAGAAAGCCTGACATATACTAAATAAAGAATTAATAAATAAATATGTTTTAAAAAAGTTCAGGAAGGAAAACTTCAGACATTGCCTCAAGCTAGAAGCTCATAATTACTCATAAATGTTTCTTCCCTTTGTAAGAGTCCACAAACCAACAGTTGTCCCAAAACATGCAGAGCGTGCATGAAGCTTAACAAATTCCAAATGTAATGCGCACATCCCTTTTCAAGATTCAAAGCATTTATTTTAAGCTTAAACACCTATAAAATGAAACTATGTCCAATTAACTTCTGCTTTCTCATCTTTAATGTTTTTTTTTTGTCTTTTTCCCGTATGGAGACCACAGTAGTAGTAGTAGTTGCTTGTTAGCTAACTTAACAGACCATAACTGTGAGGCACTAATGATACAGGAGCCATTAAAATCACCTAAGTAAAAGAGGTTCCACTAAATGTTGAAAGCTTCACAAAGAACAGATTTCACTTCATTTCTTCTTCTTCCTGCCTCTCCCCCTATACACCCTCAAACCCCACTCTATTCTCAGGCCCTAATCCCAACACAATCCTTGGGTACAATTACTAAAGTATCTTACATGTTAGATCATGTGCCAGCTGTGGGAGCAACTCATTTCATCTGATAAATGTTTTACATTAGCAAATGTAAAGATATTCATCATGTCTATATTAAGCACATTTTCAAAGTGGCCTCCACACCTGGAATTTTAAAAAGATGATGTGGCTTATGTGTATGGGCCACCTGGGAATCAAACCACACACATGGGTTAAAAGGTCAGAGACACGGTATCAAAGCACTACTCAGAGCCGTCCTTAACATGAATCACGTGAGGACTCAGTGTTGGGAAAAAAAAACTACCTGTACGCAAAAGCACTGACAGGGGAGGAAAACGGATTTACAGGGACAGAAAGAAAAGAGATTAGGACTCATCCCAGTGGTTCTGTTGAGAGCTGTACAAAGGCTGGGCTGTAGCTTCTGAAAGCTCAACTCAGTGCACAATCACCAAGCTGTGATTTAGTAGAAATGCCATTCTCCCAGGGGGGTAGCAGTCCACAGGCTTCAAGCTACTGCAATGTGAGAATGAAGGCGAGTCAGGCTCCTTCAGTCCAGGGTCAGATGGAGGGAGGGGGTCAAGGGAGGCAGGGAGTGTCACAGTAAATTACCAATGTCTCCTGCAATTTAGCCTACACATCAGGATTTTGTGTACTTAGTAGCTGCTGGGAACAAGAACAGAAGCGTCCTACTCTGAGGCTATAGGGGACTCAAAAACTGGGGAGACAGATCCTGTCCCCTATGACCTCCAGCATCATTCACATCCACAAATAATGACTTATCACTCCATTTCTTCTTCCAAACCAAACAACAGTACTGAAAACAACAGCTTTAAATGATTGTCTGTAACCCCTTGTTGGAACACGTTTCAAAAGAACCATCAATCTTATCCCCCTATCAAAGTATTTCACAAGCCTTATGTTATTTTTAACAAAAGCCAGGTGGAATAAATCAGGGGAATGACTGCATTCATCACTGGGTTAGTTTCATTCAAGATATGGATGAACAGAGGCTAAGTCAAGTTCTCCTGGCTCATATTTAGTTTAATCCAGTATAAACACAGTTTGACAGCTACTTAAAAAGCAGTAACTGTCATCAAGTCTGGATGTATAATCTCCTCCAAAAAGCTCAATGTTGATAGAACTGCTTAAAATAGGACCAGGTTATAAATGATGTTCTCTTCCTAAACTTCAAGTGAAAGAGAAAATGTTCCCTAACAGATTATTCAAATTCCTGAGCCATCTTAAAACACCCAGGCAAAAACTTTAACCAGGCATGGCTGCAACATTGAAGTGAACAAAAATATGACAGATGACAGAGCTTAAGGGTGACAACGAACCAAAGAGGAAGAGTTGAATCAGTTTTTATGACATTATTTAAAAAAAAAAAAAAGCCCAGATATGTCAATAAGGAATTTTAGCTGCAGTTTGAGCCAAACCACAGTAAAGACATGGATGCTCTCAGAAGTGGAACACACAAGTGAAACCAATCCAGACACAAAAGTAGAGGAAGCGGAGGAGTGACTGTTCCTTCCTCTGTGTAGTATCATGCTTTGTAGCAGGAGTAATAATACTCTCACTAAATGAGTTCAACTGAGGTCAGTAAAGCTGTACACTGTAATGAGGACTAATGCAGGGAAGGCTAGGAAGAGGAATATTATTACAGATTGTGTCGGGGTTTAAAGATGTATTACAATGTTATGTTTTTTTGTTTAATAGTCTCTGATAACCCGAGCTAATGCAAAGCTGCTTACTCTATTTAGGATAAGGTGAAATGAGGTGATAAATGTTCTGCCCTGTCTTGTTCAAACCCAAAGCTTTTGCTGCAGGGAAAGGAGTGGTGTATTGGCTACAATTCAGGAAAGTGCTATGTATAAGTATATAGCTACTATAAGACATAAGGTCCACCAGTATGTAAATACATCGTAAATCAATGCCGAAGTTTTTATCCATGGGCTACATGTGCTATAACGCAGACTGAACAAGTTGTTCCGATTTTGTAGTATTTAATGCAGAAACGCAGTTTGCAACTCCAGGGTCATTTCCACAGCTGTATGTCTCCACAAAGCCCGGGGCACCATCTCATCTGCCCGCCCCTGCCTCACCTTACCTATGGATCTCTGCTCCGTGCACCGGGCCACAGCCTGCAGCTCCGCACCTTTCCACCTGTGGCATATCCAGCCCTAGGTCTCCGTGCACGGTCTGGCCACGCAGTAGTAGTATTCACAGCCCCCCGTGTCCAGTGCCACAGCTTCAAAACGCATCAACAGCAGCTCAGTTACTTAATTCGCGTGTTGCATCCCTGCATGAGACAGCCAAGACTGCAATGGCAATTTCTGATTCCCGAGGCTGCCTTAGCGAAGGCTGAACACAAGCAGCAGCAGCAGCAGAGCAGTCCAGACTTGTTCAGATGCCTGAAGGGAAGTCCTGGTTCTCCTTTCTTCTTTTTTTCCCAGCCTCATCCTCTTTGCCTCTTGTCCCTCCCCGCTCGCAAGTAATCCATGAAGCGTTACCCAAGTGGGGTCGAACATTTATCCTGTGATTCCATCCAGGTAAGACAGGAACCTCGGGGTCACATGATTTCACGCAGGTCGCTTTTATTTACAGCCAAAGGCGCGTAGCTTCACTATCACCTGCATCCACTATAAGCAGATTTGGAGATGACAACAAAATACTAAACAAGTACGGGACGGACTTATTGGGACTGAGGAGCTCCCTTGGTCTTTGAGATATGTGCCAAACAATCATTACTGTCTAAATCACAAAAGGTACCCATGAATCAAAGTCCACTTCTCCTACAGCCTCTATTCCAGTGTCTAAGACTATTGCATTACCTGTTCTGAAGTCACACTTCATATTTATAGCCCCCCTCTTGTCCCAGTCTAAGCAAGCAATCACACTTCCAGTAATGTAAGTCTTTTCTTCATAATATAGATACTGTTGTTCATAAAACAGTCTAATAGAGTCTGTCAACAGACACTCCTCCATTCTATTATCTTCTTGCCCAAAGCTGCACCCCACCGGTGTCAGGCTCGACCGCTATAATTTACATCAGCACAAATGAGACTCCCTGCTATTCTTTGCAGAACAACTACCCACTGTTACCTCCTATTTGTGTTATTTGTTGTTGCCATAGTAACACCTGCACAACCTTGTTCTATTCATGATGGTAGTACTATTCCTGCAGTTGTATCCTAACTCTGTGTTACTCTGTTTATATAAAGATTTTTTATTGTCAATTCACTATATGTGCAGGAAAATCAAAATACCATTTCTCTCTCACCTAGTATTGAATGCCATGCCATTTAGGAAACTAAAATAGAATAAAAGTAGAGTAAAATAGAATAAAAAGAATAAGAAAACTAAGTCAAAGTGATCAGGATAAAACTAAACAGTACAACCTAATAGGCTATGACTCAAACCATGTACAATCAGTGACAGTAGTGCAAATAATAACAAGAAGATTGTCAAATTGTGAGACTGAGATGCACATGGACAGTAGTGCAAATGACCGACAGCAGCAGATTTACATGTAATATAAGAAGAAGGGGGAATGTACTTGGTTTGTATGCTATATGCTTGTCTCATCCATTTAATTCAGTAAAACTATGCCTTGACAACTCACTTTCTGCTCAGAGTGATGGTGTTTTCTTTTTATTTCGCTGCTTCCTTGCTATTGAATTGAAGTACAAAAGAAGTCGGGCTTTATTTCAACAATGAGAGAGAGAACAGTGTGAGCAAAGAAGACAAAGAAGATGATGTAAACTGCAAAGGCAGGCAGACAGAGATCTAATGAAATCTGTGCAAGGCAGATGCGTTGTGCGGTTCTATGTCTTTTGATCCACGCCAACATAACTGAAACCATAGCCATGCTGCATTAATAGAACACATTCCAGCACTAAAATAAATGTTCTCCTGACGTTGCTTTTTAGCCTGTGTCAGTTAGGGGCAATAGAGACGAGATGACTTGTAAACTTTAAACTGCTTTGATTAGCATTTACACACAGTTTCCCACCAAACAACCTTCTCCCTCACATAGTCTTATGTGATGTCCTTTTATTTTAATCACAGCCAGGCTACAACTGTAAACAGCCTAAAGGTTAGTGAGATGAGTTTGTGACTCAGGAACATGTGGGTAGAACTTCCTGACTTGTCTGAATCCTCAGGCTGGTGTCATTCAACTGATTAACTGCCTTTGAAGAAGAGTTATCCTGTTCCCAACAGTGTTGATGATTTTTTTTTCAGTAGCCTGTAGCTATGGAATGTGGTTTTAGTGATCAACTCCCAGATACGATTTTACTACTACTGGAGGTTTAACTATGTGGATGTGAAACTGAGTCTTACTGAATCCCAGTGTGCATGTTCAGCAAAAAAAGTGAATCGTGTATGTAAGGATAAGCTGTGACAAGGCATTATAACATCTTTACTAATTTCTGTCATCATCTGTCAATGCTAAAACGTCTCATTTGATTAGCAAGATAAGCAGAGGTGCCGTACTCTTTTAAATATCTAATCCAGCATCATTTTATCAAGCCTACATAACCAATACATTTTGCATGAAGGCCTGTGACACCACCACCGACCTCTCATCTGACATCCAGCTAATAGGGCGTCGCTCAGACATCAACGTATGCTCGGCCTCAGTGTGTCCAACTGGATATCCTAAAAACGAAAATAATAATGCTCCCTCCATCCATAACCAAAAATTACTGAATGTTACAATGAACAATTCTTATTTGTTTTAATCAGAAATAACAAATACCTTAAACCAAAAATTACTGAATGTTACAATAAACAATTCTTTTGTTTTAATCAGAAATAACAAATACCCTCACATCGAATGTGAAGATACTAGCTGTTTTACAGTTGTGCTGTTATTCAGCTGGAGACTGATATAAAGGATTTAACATGCGGTGTCTAGTTTCTGTGCTTTCTTTTGTGATTGACACTGATCTCCCCATTTTCTTTTCTCCACCACCAGTTGCTCCACATGTTTGAGGGATTTAACTGTATTTGAAGATGTGACAGCATGGGGAATAGGAGAGATTACAGGAGAGTAGAGTGGTTTCTCCTTAGGGAGTCACTGTGCTTTACCTTTCAGCTCTATACTGTGTGAGTATATGTTTTGTCTGTGATTGTGTATACAGATCTGAGTGACAAGAGTCAAATAAGCACATATTGTCTGTATGTGTTGGCACAGGGTTATCCTTTAGAACAGTTCTGTCCTGATCATGGTTGTTTTTGCTGCAGGGACATGAAGAGAAGGTTAAGCTCCTCACAAGGCTGGAATTTATGAGCTCTCCCTTTCTTCTCTCTGGCAGAGTTGGAGAGGAGCAAGGTAGATAACTAGGCTCCCTTTCTTGATCCTCAATGGCCTGCAACTTTCTCCTGAAATACCACCGCTCCAGGTGACAAATACCACAGTGACCTGCCCTGTTGCAAAGGCTGGTGATTAAAATTAATATCAGGGAATGGAGGAGGGAAAGAAATATGCTTGGACAAGTCAAACATAAAAACTAGTAAACAAGAAAACCCTCAGTTCAGTGCAGAACTCCACCATGACACGTACTGCATGAATTGCCTAGGTTGAGTTCAGCAACGTCAGTAAAAATCTTTCTGTACGGCATTTTGTGTGCTTGAAATGTTGCTTTTTAACAAACCAATGCCATTTCTTAATTTGGAGACCAAGCCCTGGCAGAAAAATTAGTTCAGTATGTAACCTGAGTTATTTTGACCCTAGGGGTTTTGTACAAATTGAGCAATTCATTTCATTAGTGCCAAATCATAAAAATCAAGGTGCTTTACATAGCAAGGTCTAGACCTGGTTATTATTATAATAGAGAAACTCCCAACAAATTCCCTTTGAGCAAGCACTTGGCAAGAGTGGGGAGGAAAAACTCCTTTTAAGGAAGATCTGGTGTCTTGGTGGGTGGTTGGAGTGCTCCAAACAGCTGGGCGAGTGGATAGAGGAGAGGGAAAAGACAAGCATCAAGACACAGCAAACAAACACCAGGCAGGCTGACGTGGCCACTGACTGCTCATCAGAACATACAGCCCTGGAGCCAGGGATACCTACTGAGAGAGAAACAAGATGTGCTAATATGTGAGGCATATTAGGTGATAGTAGCTTTGCACAACCAGGCTAGCTGTTTCCTCTTATCTTCAGTCTGTGCTAAGCTTAAGCCCCTTGCAGACATGATACTTGGGAATTTGCAGGTTACATGTAGCAGTTCTTTTTGTGTGTGTGTGTGTGTTCAGACATAAGCTGCTGTGCACAAGATTCCTGGCAATAATTTGTTCAAACAGAGCTGCGTACAGCCACAACATCCATCAGGAGAGGCAAGCCCGTCTGTGCAGAGGTTGAGGGGTTCTTTGATTCTCACATTAGCCCAATTTCCAGCCCTTCCACATTGGCTCATGCTGCTAAACCATATCTTCTTTGTACCTGTTCAAAATATACTCTGTACTAGCTAGCAACGTAACTTTAATGCCTAAAATACAAGCCATAAGAGAGAGCACTGGTGGTCAAGTGACCAGACGGAGTTGTTTTAGCAAGAACAAAGCAGTGAAACAATGTTGTGCTATAGCACAGGTCCTTACCAGCACTTTGACCACCTCATTTCAGAAGGTTCCAACTCTAATTAGGTATGAGCAGGTAAAATTGTCAACAACACTTTCCAACTCAGGACTTTGTTCAGACGTGATACCTAAACATGAAGTATCTGGCAAATTCCTGGGTAGAGGAGCATGTCGGAAAGGGCTCGAGTTAGCCGCCAGACAATACTTGTAAGTATGGTTTCCTCTTCCAGACAGGCAATGGCAGAATCAGGTAGGCAGGTGTAGTCTCCTTGCAGGAAAAAAAAAAACAAAAAACAAAACTTGGGAATATAGGAGAAACTCCAAGGACAAGGGTGGTAAGTATGTTGTTACAGAGGACAGGAAAGTAGGCTGCTGGAAAGCCTGCAGTTTCTCAGTGATTTCCTTTGAAAACAGATGAATAAAAATACAAAAGTCCTCTTTGGTGTGGACACAAAAAACACTGAACTCAGTAACACAAGACAGAAAGAAGTCTTGCTGAAAACAGGTCAACAGAAAAGAGTGGTAATCCAGGCTCACAGCACAAATGGACAGTTCTCCAAACAATTTCCTCAAAAGGCTGGAAAGCATGGACAAAGGCAGAACCAAGTCAGGGGACAGGCAGGTTGTCAGGCCAAGGAAACAGGTAGATAACCAGAATCAAGAACACGAGTGTTCAGACAGCTCTGGAAACAACAAGAAACTATCTGGCAACAGAGCAGGTTAAATAGGCAGACTAACAAGACGCAGGCGAAATCAATCAGCTGCTGACTGAACTGAGCAAAGCTGGGACGGGTGACATGGTACGAGACAGGAAGTCTCCAAGACATAAGAGCCTGTCAGGGATTTCTCAAGACTGTTAGGACACACACACACCATCATAATACTGTCCAAAAGTGTCCATAATGAAGATTGTACATGTTCTAATTACAAAGCTTTCAAAATAACAGAAGTCAAGTGAAGAATCTTTAATTTCATTATGCATAGCACAACAAAATTTTTTTCCGGCAGCTCTCGGCTTAAAAGACACATTATTTACATAGCACACAATTGTATAAGTCAATATAAAACAATGAGCAAATAAAAAGGGATGTATGGGGCCTAATCAGGTTAACAGAATGTTAGCAGTAAAAGAGTGTAGTAACATTATAAGGTGCAGCTCAGTGCAAATCTCAGTCTTTAGGAGGAGGTGTGAGCATGGTTGTGTTGCAGAGG